CATCCATGTGTGAAGCGCTATACTACTTACTAGTGTGAGTGTGAAAATCGCAAGTTTGAAGCTCCCAAATCACCAAGATTGCATCAAGAAGCATCTACAGTCTTCCCCTGAACAAAACGCACGTATGTACTATTCAACTTTCCCTGGAAAACTCGATTTTTCGAAGTAGCTCCTGAAAATCCGAATAGTACGCGCGTTCAAATAGTACGCATATGTGTACTATTTGTATAGTATGCATCTCTCTCTCTCTCTCTCTCTCTCTCTCTCTCTCTGTGGCTTCGCTATTGTCGTCTGCGTGGAGGTCTTATTGGCAGACGGAGGTCTTATTGTCTACGTATAGTCTTGCTCCACCCCTCTACACATGCAGGATGTATGATTCCGTTTCCTAGGGAAAGATTCATTCTGAAGACTTGTTTTTTTTTTTGTTTTTTTTTGTAACGAGGACCATTTCTCAATTTGTGTGTGTCGCTCCAACTGTGACGAATGCCCCAGGGACAGGCCCGTGGCTACAAGGGCATGTACTGGATTTTTTTTGAAAGCCCTTTTTCTGAAGTTGGTGCCCAAAACCCGTAGCATAACGCACGTGCGTTGTATACGAATACAACGTACGTCGTGCGTTGTATTCATATCCAACACACGTGCGTTTTGTTTGAAGGAAGACTGTAGGAAAGAGTCGGAGTACTACCTCCTAGTGCATAAGTGAAAGAGAAGAGTTTGAGTAGCCCATGGAAGAGAGAAGGTGAAGTAAGAGAAGATGGAGGAAAAGGGGAGAGAGATGAGGGAGATGGAGATGGAGAAGAAGGTGAGGAAGACAAGGAGAATGAAAGTGACGAGGAGGAACGAGGAGATGAAGAGGGGAGAGAAGAGAAGGAAGAAGGAGGGAGTGAGGAGAAAGACGAAGAAGGAGGAGGAGAGGAAGAAGAAGAAGAAGAAGAAGAAGAAGAAGAAGAAGAAGAAGATGGAGGTGAAGAAGTCTCTTCCTTCCTCTCACTTTGTGGATTCCTCGATGTTGGTGTCCTCTTGATGAAGCTTCCTCTCCTTGCACAAAGCACCTTCCCCTTTCTTTGCACACTTGTCTTCTAGCTATGGTTCCCTTCTTCCTCAAGTCCTCCTCCTCCTCGGAATGCCCCCTCCTTTGGCTATGGCCGGCCTCCTACCTTTAGGGCAATGGAGTCCGTCCCTCTATGAGGGTTAAGGGGACCCCAATGAACCTCTCAACTACCTCTAGAGCCAAGGAGGCATGTTGGAGCCCCTCCTTAGGCCGGTGCCACTCTCCCCAGCCTCTTGAGTTTCTATCCCTAACCTCCACCCTACCTACACTCTCTAAAGTAGTAGTACTACACCCCTTTTGCAATCCGGTTTGGCCTAGGGGTCTACCGGCGACACTTTGGCCATGTCTAATTGCCTCAATGAGATGTGAGTGGGGCGGCCAACCTTCCTTCCTTAAGTAGGTGGCCCGTCACACCTTGGGCAGCCCACGAGCCCCTCTTATGTGCCCTAAACGGTCCGAGGCACTCCCAAGGCCTCTCCTTGCTCCCTCGGCCGTAAAGGCACGTCCGCTAGCCTTTTGGGCAACACTTGGACGTAGGAAGCAAGTATGAGTTGAGCTGCAGCCTCCCTCTCTTATATAGGTTGTCTTCCATTCCAAGAGCAACCTTTGGGACTCCCACAAAAGGTTATGGGAGTTCCACAGTGCTTCTCAAGGCTCTAAGCACAACATGTGTTACATGCTTCAATGAGTATGGGCAGAACCAAAGATCAACCAATGTAGGATGAGCATATATGCAGCGGAAGTCTGATAAACGGACTGTCTCCCATAGACTGACTCACATAAATCACTCCACACACATACAATCGTGAGATGGTGGGGTCTGGGCCAAGCATGGACGATGCCCAGATCCCGTACACACATACACAGATGAAAGGTGGGAGGAGAGACGAAGGAGGTGGGGGAGGTAGATAGCACTGATAGGTCACCGAGATAGAATCCAATAGGTCACCGAGATAGAATTCGATAGGTCACCGATATGGTAGTCCGAAATGTCATCCAACAAGATCAAAATGTCGAGGACAATCAGACACCAATGTCGGAGATACAGAGTCCAAATGTAACCGGTGTCCGAACTGTGATGCCGCCAAGTATCAACCCCAATAATCTCCAAGTCTCCAATCCGGTAAGTACCACAATCTCATACCACCAAAGTCCAACTCTAATATCTGTCCAACTAGTATAAGTCTCCAGCCTGAAGAAGAAGAAGAAGAAGAAGAAGAAGAAGGAGAAGAAGAAGAAAACGAGAGAGAGAGAGAGAGAGAGAGAGAGAGAGAGAGAGAGAGAACGGAAGTGAGGAGGAGGGAGAGGGACCGTGGAGGGAGGAAGATATCCTCGCCTCTTGGTACTTGTCCTGCTGTTGCTGAGGCGGCGATGGCCGCCGTGCTGCTGCTGCTGTCCTCGCTCGCTGCTGTCGCTGCGCTAGCTCGCGCTGCTGATGTCCTTCGCTCCTGCGCTAAGAATAGCGCTCAAACGGCGCTCTGGCGCCGACCTTACCGCACCGCATAGACTGCCGGTGGGTCGATAGCCTCAGTGAGGCTGGACCGGTACCTTTGTACCGGTGGGCAGAGGTCGGCCTCTATGCTGCGAGGTCGGACCGTGACCTGAACCGTCCAGATGGACGGTTCAGCCCCAACCGGCGGGCAGAAGCCTCAAGAGCGCCGCCAGGCCCAAACGGTAATATCGTTTGGGCCTGCCCGTCAGGTCTGGTCCAAGGTAAGGCCTTTACAGCTTGTAGTACCCCAAGGTCAAGCCTTAAGGCCCTACTGTGTCTGTCTACCCCTAAGTCGGGTCCGGTAGGGCCCGCGTGCGTCGAAGATGTAACACACTCCCCCTCTTAAAAGACCGAGCTACTTGCGAGGGCGGAGTTGTCTGTCCAAGTCGTGTCTTCTCATAGTTGGCGAAGATAAGGGGTGCAGAAGTCTGCAAGTCTGCACTAGAGATCCACCGAGTGTCGTCAGGCGCACATTGCTTGAATGTGACTTTGTACTGCATTGGCTTGTTGCCATACTTGCGGTGCGTGATGACTCGGTCAACTTCCTGATGTCCGTCCATGGAAGGCGGATCCTGTGATCGACGTCCGGGAAACTCGTCAGCTATAGGTGGAGTGTAGATGGCCAGCTTCGACGTGTGGAAGACCCAATGCACTGTAAGGTGCGGTGGAATGTTGATCACGAAGGAAGGACTTGCGGGGTCGTCTCCAACGGCAGAAGTGACTTCCCATGGTCCGAACCATTTCGAAAGGAGTTTGCGCGAAACGTCCTGCTCGAGCGCAAATTCCTCGGAGAGGACCCAAACAAGGTCTCCCTCGGGGAAAGGACATGGAAGTCGACGTCGGTTAGCTTGCTGTTGCATGCGGATTTGAGCCTTTTGCATATTCGCACGGGCTTTGATCAGCAAGTCCCGGTACTTCGGAACGAAAGCGGGAGAGCAAGGGACGTCTATGTCTGCAGGCTGTGGCAAAAGGAGATCAACGAAGATCCGTGCTTTCTCTCCACCATGATGTAGCTCGAATGGTGTGACGCAGATCGCCGGATGCACCGAAGTGTTATAGGCGAACTCGATGTCGGGAAGCCGGTCAACCCAATCTTTCTGGTCGGAACGGATGAGCGTACGAAACATCATCTGAGCGGTTTGGTGCGCGCTCCGTCTGGCCATCCGTCAGCGGGTGCCGAGCCGATCTCGGCTTCATAGTCGTACCGGACTCAGCCATGAGGGAAGTCCAAAAGGTCGACATGAAGCAAGTATCTCGGTCGCTCACTATGTCTTCTGGAACACCCTGGTTGGTAATCCAACCGGTGTGCAAGCATCGTGCGAGCTCGGGTGCTGCAGCATGATACTTGCAAGGAAGGAAGCGAGCATACTTGCTCAAACGGTCAACGACCGTGAGAATACCGTCATGGCCGTGGCGATCGCAGGGGAACGGGCCTGTCACGTCCATAGCAATGGAGAGGCGCGGTGCCCGAGGAATCGGCAATGGTTTCAGTTCGCCGGAGGGGACTCGAGATCGACCCTTGTTGCGGTGGCAAACTGCACATGACTCAACATACTTCGTGACGTCATGAAGGACGTCGGGCCAGTGAAAACGCTGGCGGAGGCGTGCTAACGTGTGGTTCACGCCAAGGTGTGCCGAAAGTCTTGCGTCGTGGAATTCGCCGAGAAGACGAGTCCGTAAGATGCGATCTTGGGGCACTACTAACAAGTCCTTTCCTCTCGTATGAAGGAGAAGGAACCCGTCGGAAATCCGATAATGGCTAGAAGGCGGGTGATCCGATGAAAGCTCCGCGTAAAGCATAGAGTAAGTCGGATCGGACTTGTAGCCTTTGACGAAATGCGGCTGCAGATCGTCATCAAGGTCGAATGCCGTGGTCACAATGGCACAAAAGTCGGGCCGACGCGATAGGGCGTCCACAATTCGATTGGCGGGACCGGGAATGTGGCACGGGTCGAAGTTGAATTGGTCGATGTAATACATCCATCGACCGATCCTGCTCGTGACCATGTCCTGCCTTTTGTAAAAGGTCAACGGATTGTTGTCCGTATTTGATTTAAAACGCCGACGGCCGAGAAGAAAGTGGTGCCACCGTTTGAGAACGGTGACGAACGTGAGTAGCTCTTTCTTCCTACCATCGTCGAGAGTGTTGACAAGAGACACCTTTTGGGAGAAATACTCGACCGGATGCTAACCGTCCTCGTGGCAATGTTCCAACACCGCCCCAATGCCATATCCCAAAGCGTCCGTAGTCACTTGGGTGGGAAGGGTGGGGTCATATATACGGAGGGCAGGTGCGGCTTGCATCGCTGCCTTCAACGTAGTGAACGCGCCACGGGCTGCGTCGTCGAACTCGAAGGGCACCTCCGGGGACTAAAGTCTCGACAAAGGTGCTGCCACTTTCGAGTATGACTCGACGAATCGCTGATAATATCCAGCCAATCCCATGAAAGAGCGTACGTCCGTCGTACAACGGGGTTCCGGCCAATCCACGATGGCTTGGATCTTGTCCGCTAAGGGACGAATGCCTTTCGGCGT